AAGTGTGTCTATGGATATTGCTCCGCGGTTGTACGGATTACTTACCCACCCAAGAACCAGGCAATCGCCCAGCGACAAGCAAAGTCGACCCATCGAAGGTCTTCGTTCCTCTCTTAGTCACCCGTCAAGAATTTTCGAATAGCGCCGCGACGCCAAAAGCAACTGAACCACTGCCACCGCCACTGCCTTCGCTCCGCCCAATGCCACCCACTGGGGAAATGGGTTTTCAATTGTTTTGATCCCCCCCGCACACAGCCGCGAAGCAGAATAATCAACAAAAGCAACAGTGGCAAGGAGCATTTCAATTAACTCGTGTGGCCCGCTGTCAAGAGAAACACAAAACGCAAAAGCTCGGAAAGAATAGCTAAAGAATCGAAAACGATAACCCATCCACACTGCTGCCATCGTAGAATACTCCTACTGTTGCAAACCAATCATAATATCAGTAGTTATAAACCGCGAACGGCTAATACCCAGCCCTGCACCCATCTCTCCAAGTTTTTATCTGGATTTGCTTTTCGCCTTTCTTTATCTTTTGGATTTGTTTTCGCCCCGGCAACGGCAGTAAATTCGTTTATTAAACAACTTACTTATGTTTACATTACGGAGGCCGAAAATCTTATAGCTCCACACATATTACAATTTATTTCTGTGCATACATACACAGGTTATATAGTTGTATTTTGGTTCTGTATGCCATGCTTTGTTGCCATTTGACTTCTTGCATCGGAGATTACCCGAAAAATTAAATCAAAACACCGTCAAATAATGGCTTTTTTAATTGGTTCAGACAGATTGGTGTATCTGCTCCACCGATCAATAATTATTTGCTTTGATTCATGCAGAAGCGTCTTTAAATAACCCGTGAGCTATAAACAGATCTAAGATTCGCAAATAGACTTCCAAAGGCGAAGATGCAAGCAAATCCGCGTGGCCTTTCAGAGCTTCAGTGTTGAGGCCGTTTTCTTTGGTTAATTAATTTCTTGGCACAAGTGCCCGACCCAATATCTGTTAGGGGCTGCTATACTGCCTCCGACGAACGGCGGAAAGGTGTATGTTTGGCCTGCATTTATCAGCGCCCTGACAAGACGGATCTGCAGCCCCTCTGGTCGTGTGTGTGCGGCTATATGGTTTTTGATTAACACCTTTTGGCCCCGCCTCAATATTTATTTGTTTACATTGTGCCAGAGACGCCTAGCCTATCCCCCCTTTCGTTCTATTCTCCTCTATGGGAATTGAAATGATATTTATTGTTGTACAATTTGGTGAGTCTATTTCTGTATGTTTGGCGTGTTTCTGGCTGTGCCACTGTTGCTTTTGTCGTACGCTAAATTTATTTTAATTAAAAATGTCTTAATTTAATTTATCGAAACGCGCGCGCCTCGAAATTTATGGTACCCAATCGCCTGCTAGACCCCTCTGGTGAAGGGTTGCTTGGTTCTTAGGGTTCGGTTTCGGCCTGGGTCCGTCAATCAATACGTTTAGTCCACTACAGTGAGAAGCGCGTAGAGCGGCAGAGCGCTGTTAACGACCTGTTAAAGGCCTGCTAGCTGGTTGCCCAATTAGACTGGCAGCCAATTAGCAGAATAAATCGAGTCCCCCAGTTAATTGTTAGCGCCCACAGACCCCGGACTAGACCAGATCACATCGGATCGGAGAGGAAAATAGGGAGCTCAGAACTGCACGCATGTTACAGTTGCACTTCTACTCGAATCATGCGGGTCGCCTGGTGCTTGGGGGCGGCAACGGTAGGCCGTCCGATTTCCTTTGCTATCCGTTGGAGAGCATCAAGGAGTTTGAGCAGATCTCCGAGGCCTGGAAGCGTCTACTAGCAGAGCTGCTCAAGAAAGGTGTAATACTTAGCCCCTACCTCAAGCATGTTCCCAAAACGATCTGCGCCCAAGGATGATCCTACTAATGTGCATATTTTGTTACCTTTGCAGAGGAGGACGACTCTCAGATCTTTGTAAAGTTCTTTCGTTTTCACAAGTGCTATGATCTGATACCCACCTCCGCCAAGCTGGTCGTCTTCGACACCCAGCTCCTCGTGAAGAAGGCCTTCTACGCCTTGGTCTACAATGGGGTGCGTGCTGCGCCGCTGTGGGATTCTGAGAAGCAGCAATTCGTGGGCATGTTGACCATCACGGACTTCATCAAAATCCTGCAAATGTACTACAAATCGCCCAATTCGTCCATGGAGCAGCTTGAGGAGCACAAACTGGACACGTGGCGAAGTAAGATATACTAACGCTTTTGGGAAAATGAAGAGAGCTACATGGGCCCATTTATCCAACAGGTGTGCTGCACAACCAGGTGATGCCTTTGGTCAGCATCGGTCCGGATGCTTCCCTCTACGATGCCATCAAAATTCTCATCCACAGCCGCATCCATCGCCTGCCCGTCATTGACCCGGCGACCGGCAACGTCTTGTACATCCTGACCCACAAACGGATACTGAGGTTCCTCTTTCTATACGTGAGTACTTACCCCTTCGTAGCGAATTCGTAGCAGAGCCCTAACCCTCTTCCCTGGACGCGCAGATTAATGAATTACCAAAGCCCGCTTACATGCAAAAGAGTTTGCGAGAACTGAAGATCGGCACCTACAATAACATTGAGACAGCCGACGAGACGACGAGCATAATCACGGCACTGAAGAAGTTCGTGGAGCGACGCGTCTCTGCTCTGCCTCTGGTGGATTCCGAAGGTCGCCTCGTCGACATTTACGCTAAGTTTGATGTGATTGTGAGTATCCTACGAAATTCCGATTCGTCACGCTCTCCCTTACTCACATCATACCCTAAACCACATTTCAGAATCTCGCCGCCGAGAAAACCTACAACGATCTCGATGTGTCGCTGCGCAAGGCCAACGAGCATCGCAACGAGTGGTTCGAGGGGGTCCAAAAGTGCAATCTGGACGAATCGCTCTACACGATTATGGAACGCATTGTTCGCGCAGAAGTCCATCGCCTGGTGGTGGTCGATGAGCAGCGCAAGGTGATTGGCATCATCTCGCTGTCGGACATCCTGCTGTACCTGGTTCTGCGGCCCAGCGGTGAGGGAGTCGGTGGCTCTGAGAGCTCTCTGCGCGCCTCCGATCCCGTCCTTCTGCGCAAGGTCGCCGAGGTTGAAGTGGAGATTCCGGCGGCCTCATCTTCGACGTCAACACCCCCGCCTCGCAGTCCGTCGGCCGGATCCGGAAATCGCAGTCTGATCGAGGACATACCCGAGGAGGAGCCATTACCAACGTCGACGGAGCCAAAGAGCGAGGATGCCGACAGTGATAACAACAAGTCCGCCAGTGAGGATAAGGCCAATAACAATCAACAAGAGTTGACGACGGCGGCGACAGCGAGAGCGACGGCTAATGGTGATAGCAGTAACAACAGCCCCGTGGAAGTGTCCTTCGCCGATGAGGCGCACGAAGAGGAGGGAGAAGCTGCAGACCAGGTCGAGCGCAGCCATTGTGATGATGACGATGACGGTGTCCTAGCGGAGGTGGAGCGTAAACAAGCAGCCGTGGCTGCAGCAGCTGCCCGCACATCGGACGAGGACGAGGATGGGCTAAGCAGTGCCGTATCCGCCGCCTCCGCTTTGGGGCAGTCACTAGGGACGCCCGCGGCGCGAGAAATGGCGCTGGTTAGTGAATAAACATTTAATTTAAACAAAAAAACAATTTAATCGGATACAGCTATAGCTACGCAGCCACAAACAAAAGCTAAACCAGAACTAAAACCCAAAAACACAATAAAGCAGAGAAAATTATATTTGAATATTACTAGTTGTTAAGGATATACTATTACAATTATGAAATATTATGTATTTTACAAGAAGCAACTAAAAGCAAAACAAAAACAAAAAGCTGTTAACAAGATGTTTATATATACACACAAGAAAACGGAAACAAAACAAAAAATTACATTAGAATGTCTTTAAATTTTAAACGATGTAATTGATTATTATATGATAGTACAGTACAAGTCAAACTGTTAGTTTTAATGGGGGATTTCTTTATGGGTAGTCGGCACCCAGTACATTGAAATCATTTTAATGCATTATTATTAGTAAGGAATATCAGTGAGTAGTTTTATACTGCGTGTGAGCGGCAAAGTTCGGGAAGAGAAATTTCCTATGCCCCTGGAATATGGCCCTGCAGGCCAATGCCTTAGATATTTTAATTAAGTTTGATATATTGTATTTATGCGATAAATAGGCGTTTTTGTATTTTTGTACCCTTGCAGAGGGTATTCAACTTTTTTTGTTGCAGTGAACGCAGTGAAAGCGACATCTTCGACCCTATGAAGCCTAATATTGTCAGACCGTCTGTAGGTCTGGCAGTTTCTACTAGAAACTAGTAAGTTTCTAGACTAATTTCTTTAAACTAGTCTCTTAGTTTAGCTATCGACTTGAAACTTTGCACACACCCTTCCTTTCTTTGCACGCAGTATTTAAGTCACGGCCGCGGTCGGTCGTCTATATCCTATAGCTGCTTTATAATTGATTAATCGGAAATTGTATTTGGGAAAAATACCAACTTTGTTAATTTTGAAGATTGGCTTAGGACTTTTCTAATGAATTGGTTTTATTATGATATTATCATAAGGATCGGCCAACTATACCCAATTTTTTCAATATACATCCGATTTTAACTGCAAGAGTATATGAACTTCGGCTCCGCCCGAAGGTGCACTTTTCTTTCTAGATTCTTTTCTAATTCTAATGAATTTTCGGAAGTCAGGGGAAAATAAAACGCTTTTAAACTGGAATAATATTTAAAGTTCAAATTAAAGTACAACATACGAGATTTTTTAACAATGAACTTAAGAACAAGAGGAAAATATATTTTCCAAAGCTCTTGTGTTAGATTTACTCTTATTATTGTAGTATATTTAGATTTAGCTCTTATTAGATTGATTTTGAAAAAGCCGATGGCGCCAAACGCCCATGTTAGTGTTGAGTAACACGGATATCTATTTGGAGCAGCTGTTTTGGCGTTTTTTTTGTTTTTCTTGGAGTCCCCCACGTGCGGCTGGGATTTGTTGCTAGTTTACGCTTTATATTTCATTTCCTGACAAAATGAATCACTTTGAGATCCGGGAAATACCCGGAAAGGTACTTAGAGTAATTTAAAGTTGTACACGCTCATTAAGAAAATGGTTTTTACAGGGACGTGCCATGATAGCCACGAAAAACTTTGCGGCTAATGAAGTCATCTTCGAAGAGGAACCCTTTGTGTCCAGCCAGTTTTCTTGGAACACAGCCTACGGTTATGCGGCCTGCGATCATTGCATGCGCCCTTTGGAAACGGTTCTGCAGAACGTGCGCCGCTTGGCCAGCGATCCAAAGGTGGAGGTACCACTACTGCAGCACGATCCCACGGCTGCCTGGGTAGCGCAGTTTACTCACTGCCCCCGCTGCAAAGTTAGCTACTGCTCCGAAGACTGCCTAATGGAAGCCCAAAAGCGCTACCACCGGGTGGCATGTATGGGCGCCTTTCGCTTAGACGACACACATCCCATCAACGTCCTTAACGAGACCTGGAAGAAAATGCATTATCCTCCTGAAACCGGGACAATCATGTTAATTGTGCGATTGATGGCCATGTACCAGCAGAGTGCCAAGAAATCTGAGTTCCTCGAACAGCTGCAATCATTCCAAGCTTTGATTGTGAACCGAGAGCAGAAGATCTACCACAAAATGTTAGGCGAAAACTTTGAAAATCAGATGGAGCAGCTATACCGTGCGTTTTGTCACGCCTTTGCGGGAGAGGAGTTTGCCGCGGTAATACAAAAATGGGTTATTATTTAATAACATTTCCTCATATATTCAATTTACCAGTTCACCACGCCCGACGCTTTTAAAACACTTATGGGCATCATGGGCACCAACAGCCAGGGCATCGCCACAAGCGTACTGGCTCAGTGGGTGGCCAAGGTCTCCGACCTTCCTCTGCCGGAAGCAGACAAAGCTCAATTGGACACTGTGATCGATGAAATCTACGCCAAAGTCGGTGAATGTATGTATGAATTACTTATTAATCAGAACGTATTATATTTTTCTGTTTTTTCAAAGTTGCTGGCGAATTCCTGAATAACGAGGGCTCAGGTCTTTATCTCTTACAAAGCAAAATTAACCACAGTTGCGTGCCGAATTCCTGCTCCACGTTCCCTTATTCCAACGATATAGTAGTTTTGAAAGCCTTGACACCCATCCAAGAGGGTGATGAGATCTGTATCAGCTACCTAGACGAATGCCAGTTAGAGCGCAGCCGGCACTCCCGACACAAAGTCCTTCGCGAGAACTACATCTTCGTCTGCCAGTGTCCCAAATGCCGAGCGCAGGCTTCTGATCCAGATGAGACCAGTGATGAAGAGGACGATGATGAGATGGACGATTATGATGAAGATGACGATATGAACTAAACAAAGGACGACCTACATCCTTTATTTTATTTAAAAATTTTGTATTGAAATGAAAATATGCGTTTGTACAATTCATTGAGTACTAATATATGTACATATATGGCAATGTACGATAATTTACGTACACACATATAAAATAATTTGATGATGGAAACCACAAGTTCTAGAATACGGTCGAATACATAGCCACAAATTGCAAATTTCTGTAGCGCTTCTACTGAAAACTTTTGATGCCAAACTATTTCTATAACTAATATACATATATCAGATATCGATTTTTAGAGGGGATATAACCATATATATACAATTTCCCATTCGAACGAACTAAAATTTTGAACGCTAGAAGACTATAAAAAATGTAACTATCCGATTTGGAACTTAGACTCGATTGGTATCCGCTCGTGCCAAGTAACAAAGGATGTGCAATCTGGAAAATCGAAAGCTTTAAAAATTAGAGACGGATTTACTTAAATCGAATTGGCGGTGGTCCTGATCAAGAATATATGACATTATAGCGGTGGTCGGCACGGCCCTATTCCAGGAACATAGGAAATTTCTTTCCACAGTTCAATAAGTGTACAAGGCGTCCAAAAGATTTTAAACTGCACGTAGAAGTATCAGATAGCGATGATCAGGTGTTTCTAAGCCGCGAATACCCGGCCGAGAGTCGAATCACCTTTACGGTATTCCGACAAGGCGATACTTCTATCTGTCAAAATTTTAAGAATCCCGCCAGATCTAAAGACGATTGGCTTCGTGTTCACTTGGATATCCAGGCAAAGACGGATGAACAAAAAAGCACTGACTAATCTTAAGATGGACACAACGATGTTGCGTTTCAGGCCGTTTAGACTAGGCCGAGCAGATCAAGAAGGAGCCAAAATATCAATATTTGTGAAGATTAGTGATATTAGCAAGATTAGTGAGGATATTTATTCTTGTGTGTTATTTGGTCGTTGATTGAAGTCACGCTTTTGGTATGCTCTGGATTTTCGTGTCTACTCGCTTAAGTCAGAAAACCAATATGTACATGGTTTTCTGCGAAGTGATCCACTTTTTGCAGGTATCTAAGGTAATAAAAAAAAAACAAGAAAGGAAAGCTAACTTCGGGGGAAGCCGAAGTTGATATACCCTTGCAGTTCATCGCAACAACATCGCAAACATCGGATATAGTTGACCGATCCTTATGAAAATATCATAATAAAACCAATTAATTACAATAAAATCTAAAAAAATGTCCCAAGCTTCTATCTTCAAAAATACCAAAGTTGGTATTTATTTCAAATACCATTTCCGATCGTTCAGTTATATGGCAGCTATACCATATAGTCAGCCGATCCTTATGAAATTTGGTGCGTCGCATTATTTTGCGAAAAATATCTCTCATGTAAAATCTGAACTCTCTATCTCTACAAACACCAAAGTTATACCATTTCCGATCAATCAGTTATATGGCTTAGAATATAGCTTAGCTTAGAATATAATAAACATTATTGGCCCAAAAGGACAACATGTATCTGGCAGCGACATTTCGCAGTGGGTCGTAAACGTGTCAGAATCTGAAAATGCTGAACAATGCTGAACAAGACGAAAGCGAACTAATCTCTATCACCAACAAGAAAGGAAAGCTAACTTCGGGCGGAGCCGAAGTTTATATACCCTTGCAGTTAAAACCGGATATATATCGCAAACATCGGATATAGTTGGCCGATCCTTATGGGAATAGGAATATATAATCCAATTTATTACAATACAAAATCTAAAAAAAGTCCCAAACTTCTATCTTCAAAAATACGAAAGTTGATATTTCTACCAAATACCATTTCCGATCGTTCAGTTATATGGCAGCTATGGGATATAGTCGGCCGATCCTAATGAAATTTGGTAGGTTGGATCAACTGACCAAGAATTAAATCTGTACTAAGTTCCATCTTTCTATCTTCAAAAACACGAAAGTTGGGTCATTTCCGATCGTTCAGTTATATGGCAGCTATAGGATATAGTCGGCCGATCCTTATGAAATTTGGCCTGTCGTATTATTTTGCCAAAAATAGCTCTCATGTCAAATTTGAACTCTCTAACTCTACAAACACCAAAGTTATACCATTTCCGATCAATCAGTTATATGGCAGCTATAGGATATAGTCGGCCGATCCGGGCCGTTCCGACTTATATACTGCGTGCAAAGGAAAGAAGGGTGTGTGCAAAGTTTCAAGACGATAGCTTTAAAACTGAGAGACTAGTTCGCGTAGAAACAGACAGACAGACGGACAGACGGACAGACGGACAGACGGACATGCTCATATCAACTCAGGAGGTGATCCTGATCAAGAATATATATACTTTATAGGGTCGGAGATGTCTCCTTCACTGCGTTGCACACTTTTGACCAAAATTATAATACCCTCTGCAAGGGTATAAAAAGCCGGAGTTTAAAGTAAAAGAATGTAAACGAAATGCCAATAAGTTTGGAAAAAAGTGTATTACAACAAAATTTGTGTATTTCAGTTACCCAAATTTTTGGTCCAACACCAGTAGCCCGCAACAATTCTACCAACACTAACTTTAATACAAATTTATCTCTGTTTTTGGCTGAACAGAATCGAGGTGGTAAAACCAAAGCCAATGTCCGACTGACCTGAAACTGCAAAAATTGCATGCCTAATGAGAAAAGAATACTACTTGACACTTAAGGATAAATATACATGAATGTAAATATATGAAAATACACATGAATACAAGTATGTATATATTCTTTTGGTTAAACATTTTTCGTGATTTTAAGATTTTTATACCCTTGCAGAGGGTATAATAATTTTGGTCAAAAGTGTGCAACGCAGTGAAGGAACATCTCCGACCCTATAAAATATATAAATTCTTGATCAGGATCACCTCCTGAGCATGACCGTCTGTCTGTCTGTTTCAACGCGAACTAGTCTTGAAACTTTGCACACACCCTTCTTTCCTCTGCACCCAGTATATAAGTCGGAACGACCGGGATCGGTTAACTATATCCTATAGCTGCCATATAGCTGAACGATCGGAAATGGCCCAACTTTCGTGTTCTTGAAGATAGAAAGCAGGAACTTAGTACAGATTCTATTTTTTGTCAGTTTATTCAACCTACCAAGTTTCATAACGATCCGCCGACTATATCTTATAGCTGCCGTATAACTGAACGATCGGAAATGGTTTTTGGTGGAAATACCAACTTTGGTATTTTTGAAGATAGAAGCTTGGGCCTTTTTTTTTAAATATTTTTTTGTAATTATTTGGTTTTATTATGATATTTTTATAAGAATCGGCAACTGTTTTCGATGTATATATCCGGTTTTAACTGCAAGGGTATATTAACTTCGGCTCCGCCCTTTCATGTTTTTAATAAAACTTGTTTAAAAAATTTTTTATAAACCTTACTAGGTGTCTATATAAGTATACAACTTTGGCAATATTATACATGTATTTATGTATATCGAACCATTCAGCAACTTTCAAGGGTAAAAATACAATTTTTAAACAGCAATTTAGATGGCAAATCATTCATTTAAAGAAAATTCTAGCCCCGAGGATATCAGTGCAGTTGACAGGTCTCGAAAGAACATAAATATCTACCCATTCCCCAGTTCTTATTTTCAGGAACATCAACATTCCAGCTCAGCTCTCTGCGGCTCAACTTCTAACCCAAACACTCAAATTTCGATGAAACATTCATTTACAATTAAATTACTGTGATGTTGTTTTTACCTTTGTTCTTTTTATTATATCAACAGATCGCACCTAAATATAAATTACATTTATAATTAGCTAACAAATCTAATCAAGAGCTACCCTCTGCGGAGACTGGCGTCAAGTTTATCAGATTATTACTGCTCTCGGCCAGTTCAGCGATGGAGACTCGTCCGCGTTGCTTAATGAACTTGGCGACGGCAACCAATTCTTCCTCGGAAACATATATGAATTTTCCTCGATCGTCAATGACGCCAGTGATGGTACCGTCAGCCTGAAGCTCCTGGATGCGGTCGATTGCCTGTTGAGTCTTAAGTTTGAAAGCGACGGCTAGGTCTTCCAGCACGACAACTTTGTTGTCCTTAATATACTGAATGAAATCAGCAAGAAGACTGTCCTGTTCATCAGCATCCCCCTCCTCGAAACCCTCTTCTTCTACGCTGAAAGCAGCCTTCATTTTCAGGTACTCCTCGTGTTCTTTACGCTCGCGTTCTTCCTTTGCCAAGCGCTCGGCTTCGACCTTCTTGCGCTCCGCCTCTGCCTCAATCTCCTCCTGTTGTTTACGTTCAGCATCCTCTTTAGCCTCCTTGGCCTTCCGCTGCTCACGATCGTACAACTCTTGTTCGCGCTGGACTCGTTTAGCCTCTTTGGCCTCCATTTTGGCTCGCTTCTTGGCGCCCATCTTCTCGTCGAGGACAGCGCCCTGTGGAACTCGAGCTCCTTCGCCATCAGGATGTGGTTCATCTTCATTGTCTGAGCCCGCTGGAGCTTCTGCTTGAGGAGCTGCCGCAGCTGGCGGAGCGTTCTGCCGCAGTCTGTTCCGTTGGTTACGAGCTATTTGGGCACGTCGCGGGACCCCTTCCTGGGCGCGCTGTGGGACGCCACGTTGCGGAGCAGCTGCCGCAGGTTTTGCTTCTGTTTAGGGTCGACGGTTAGATTTATTTTAAGCGAACTGGTAAAACTTTCTCACCTGTGCTTGAATTCTTCTTCTGCAGCAAGTACAGAGTGATAATAACGACCAGCAAAGCTGTGGCAATGCCCACCAGAATAATCAAGTCCATTATAGCATTTAACAGTGTTTATTGAAAGTAGTAAACGTCAACAAGCAGCACAGCTGTTTCGTTTATTTTCCAGTGTGCCCAGCTGTAACTTTTAGTGTGGAGAGCGTGATGGGAATACGATTATTCATAAGGGAGCTATTGTAAAAATTTGGATCAAAACAAAATTAAAAGGGAATTCTTCGTAAATTTGGAATGCGTTTCTCATTTATAACATAGTATGCTACTATAAAACTGACAATATCTATAATTAAACAATTGAACTAATAGCTCACGCTCCCATCTCTACATGCCAAACACTGTCTTCGATCTGGCACTTTTTCTCATGACGTGTCGGCGAATTTAACTTTTTTAAGTAATTGGTTGGAATAGTCACTACGAATTTTGGAAAATGCGCGATCAGATACTCAGCCTTGCCCTGCTCCTGTGCGTACTGCACAGCGCCTGCGGCCTGTACTTCCACATATCTGAGACGGAAAGGAAATGTTTCATAGAGGAGGTGCCTGACGAGACAACAGTGATTGGTAGGTCCACAAAGTCCCAGCTTCTTTCAAATGACAACCTGATTTATTTTTTCCCGTCCTCTTTAGTTAACTACAAGGTAGAACTGTATGATCCGCGCTCCAACGGCTTTATGCCTTCTTCGCCTGGAATTGGAATGCATGTGGAGGTTCGCGACAGCGACGACAAGATTGTTCTTTCCCGCGTATACAGCTCTCAGGGCCGCATCTCGTTCACCTCGCACACGCCTGGGGAGCACATCATTTGCATGTACTCGAATAGCACTGCCTGGTTTAGCGGCGCCCAGCTACGAGTTCATCTTGACATCCAGGTGGGCGAGCATGCGATAGACTACGCGAATGTGGCGCAGAAGGAGAAGCTGACAGAGCTGCAGCTGCGCATCCGTCAGCTACTTGACCAAGTGGAACAGATAACCAAGGAACAAAACTACCAGCGATACCGCGAGGAACGTTTCCGCCACACTAGCGAAAGCACCAACTCCCGCGTGTTGTGGTGGTCGTTGGCCCAAACCGTTGTCTTGGTTTGCATGGGATTCTGGCAGATGCGCCATTTGAAGAGTTTCTTCGAGGCCAAGAAGCTAGTGTGAGACGCCGGTTACCCTCGCCGGCTCGCAGCCTCAATGTTCCGTATGTTTATTTCCCTATTTGTCTTCTTTTGGTGCACACCCGGCCAGAAGTCCGAATTTCATCGATGGATGTCATCAGCAATTAGCAACAGGTCACGATTTCAAGCACTTTTAGTTTTAACGTATTGTGCGTAATTTAATAAAAATCCATTGTATAAAAACTGACCACGGAGAGTGTCCTATCTACGCTGGGTCATACCGCAAGTCAGCTGAATCTAGTCCCGTGACTGGGCTTGCCCATCTGAGCATGCGTCTACAGGCTTATCAGCGGCTTTGCCAGATAACCTGTAGCGTTAACTCCCTAGTTTTAAGCTTGCATTGCGACGACTGCGACTGCCCTTTATCTCAGTGTTTGTTCTTGCGGAGAGTCGTTGTCGTTGCAGTCAGTTAGTTGCTTTTGGACCTCTCGGAGAAGCGGTCGTCGGTCGCGAACAAAAGAGCTCACTGTTGCAGATTTAACTGCAACCACCTCCACCAGAGTCGACCCACAAAAGCCGCAAGTTTGTAACCCGATCCGGTCCGAGGTGCCCACGAATCATCGCTGGCCCAGGTTGTTGTTCCCTCTCCGGTTCAGTTCGTTCACGTTGGATTGAGTGCGCGGCTGTATTTGGAAAATGTTCCGCGCTACAGAAATCGGCAGTGAAGAAAGTGAGTCTGAGATGGTAGATAAGATAAGGCCAGATTTTCAGTAAATCCCCACCCTTCACACCCTCCATTCTTTACTATATGCAGCCCTGCCTGCTCTGGCAGAGATTACTCATGTGGACTATGAGGCGGAGGAGCGTAGGGACATCGAGTGGGGCGGATGGCGGGCCGAAGGAGCCAAATTAAAGCGTCCCCAGCGTAGCTCCCTCCCCAACTATGGCTTTGCACCGCCGCCTATCCGGATGGAGTACCGGTATCCCCGAGCCGTTTTCTTTGTTCTGGCCACCAAGTTCTTTGAGGCCTTTGCAGCTAACGGCATACGCAGTAAGTCCCAAGCTTCACAATCATCAAACAGAGCATAGACTTCTATCGGTGCACAATTATTTGGCTTTGTCCGCTGGAAGAAAAATTCCAAAAACATGGCTTATCAGTCGGAGAAGTGCACAAACACCCAGGGAGGTTTCGTTGCAGTCGAAAGGTCTAAGATGCATTGCACTAGGTCTATGATAAGATGAATTACATTTTAATAAATTTATCATCTGCACATATTTAATCATCTGTGATATGTAATCATATAAAGACGCTTAGTTCCTAGTTTGGCGCACATTTGCATTACGATTGGAAATAATTTTGATAGAGTTTAGCAGATTTAGCTCAGCATTCAGCTCCCCTCAGTTGAATTACTGAATTTAAAATAAAAATATTAAATGGAACATCACTCACTTTTCCGTTATTATTTACATTTATTTTATTAAGAAAAAAATCTTTATGGCTGTGACCTTCGTTTCATGGTCAGTAAATCTCGATTATTTGCGTCCGTCGGCAGATTATGCCACTAATAAATCAATTATTTTCAGCCGTACTTGCCCTATATCTCCGCGACGATCTCAACTTCACGGAAAGCTTCTCGACGGTGGTCCTGCACATATTTAATTTTTTCGGACAGTTCTGTCCGATTATCGGGGCCGTATTGGCTGACAGTTATATGGGAAATGTGCGAACCATCTCGGCCTTTTGTTTCCTTTACGCCTTCGGCTGGCTGCTTCTCACGCTGACATCTCTGCCCACTATAGGTGTCCCTATGGTGTAAGTACAGTTCTGGGTAACCAAAAACCTTCAACTAATATTTTAAAACATTACATTTGTAGATTAATGGTATCCATTGCCTTGCTGCTCATTGCCGTGGGAAATGGATCGATTCGCGCCTGCATAACATCGCTGGGAGCTTTGCAGTTTAAGCTACCGGAACAGAGTGTCCATCTGGCAGAGTACTTCTCCTTTTACTATTTTGTATACTATTTTGGTATCTTTTTGAGCAAAATCTTACCTCCATTTGTGAGGGCTAACACCCAGTGTTTGGACAAAACGGATTGCTATCCGGCCGTTTTCGGTACCTTAGGAAGCTCGTTTTTAGTGGCTTGGTGTAAGTAATATTCTCTGCCGGGTGCTGTTTAAAACTCAAAATTTTTATAAACACTTACTCCTTTTTTTTAGTTATTTTCTTGATAGGCAAGTGTTTTTACAAGTCTGAAAAGTTGGCCGCTGATAATATCCTTTTCAAATTCTGCGGTTGCATTAAAACGGCTCTGGTGGAGAAGTGGCGAAGGAGAAAGTCCTCCAAACGGGCCAGTTATTGGTTGCACAATGCTGTTGGAGCCTACGATGAGGGGTTCGTAAATGATGTGTCTCGTGTTTTGAGGGTAATTATTATTTTACAGCAAATTAATTATTATTGTAAACTTTATTTCTTTTGGTTAGATCGCGAAATTATTTTTGCCTCTGCCGTTTTATTTTGCCCTCCTGGCGCAGCAAGATTCCAGTTGGACTTTTCAGGCGACTCAAATGAATACAACATTTCTGGGCGTGACAATCCAACCAGACCAGGCGAAGGCCGTGGGACCCATCTTTCTCTTTATGCTGATTCCGTTGTGGCAGTATGTGACTGCTCCACTATTACGGCACTACTTTAACTGGGAATTGCAGCCCCTTCACAGCGTGACGGTTGGTGGCATATTTTCTGCGGCAGCGTTCTTTTGTGCCGGAGCAGTGCAGGAAAGAATTCAAGTAAGTATATTTTTAAAGGAATACCAGTTGGTGGGATTATCCCCGTTCTTCCCCAGAGTTCCCCCGCTCAGACGGTCAATATTGTCTGGCAGCTGCCGCAGTTTTTGCTTCTAATGTTGGGTGAACTGCTGCTCTCCATACCGGGTCTCCAGTTTGCATTTACACAGGCACCAGCTTCCATGAAGTCCGTGGTCACGGCGTCCTGGTTTCTGAACAACGCTTTTGGTAATCTGATTGTAGTCGTTATAACAGAGCTGGGGCTTTTTAGCTCCCAGATGGACGGATACTTCTTCTATGGAGTCATCATGCTTGTTTGCATCATCCTTTTCGCCTTTCTGGCTTTCGACTATATGCTACAGGAGCGTAAAGGGGGCTTGTATTTGCGAGGTCTGGACGGAGACTTCGAGGATAGGGATGTTCCAAGTACCAGTCGCAGTGGAAGCATTTAGAGAAGTGTAAAATGCTTCAATTTCTTATTTTATATTAGCTTTAAGAAAACTAATCTCTGTACTTATTGTTAAATTATTAATAAAAAACTGTGTTTGTACAAAAAGTCTCGTATTTTGTAAAAAATTAAAAATAAGAACAAGATATAGGGGATTATCTTTTATGTTCTGTAATTTAATTTCCCATAAATTCATTTGCTTAATCCACAGACCATTTTTGTTTTAGATTTTTTGTTAAACTATCTTAATGATTTATGGGAACGATAATCTAACCCAAACGAAAGTAACATCAAACCTTATATTTTAAAATAATATCAAACTATTTCTATTATTCTAAATAATAATGTTAATTGTTTTTAGAATCAATCTGTTGAGGAAATTTCTTTTCTTAGTTCTCAATAGTTCTCTTCATGATGAACAGGTCCGAATGAACTTTAATTTGATTGACAAATGGGTTACTTATGTAGATTAAAATATATTTTGAAGAGAATCTACATTGCACTATTAATTTATTGGGACTCGCACACTTGCACACACACGAAAACTAAGAACAAATAAAATCGAAGCAACAAATATCTAGGTCAGTCGATGATCTTGAACATGTACTGCAGCTCCAGGTTTGTGTCGTCAGGTAAATCGGTACAGTGAACGGCGTTTTGTACCTTGGACTTGCCAAACTTCGCGCGTAACGTATGAGGGCGAAGTAGCTTAGCAATCTCCGGATCCATGGGTCCACAAAAGTTGCGAAATTCTTGGTGAACGTCTTTCTCCGGATCCGATGAAGCAATCTCCAAGCACATGCACACTCCACTGGCCAATTGCGCCACCATCGGAATGTACTCTGGCAGTACGCCGCGGTAGACCTCGTAGAACTCTTCACAATTGATGCGAGCCATTAGGATCATGCGCATAGCTGTCACTCGAAATCCATTGGACATGATCTCCAATATAATGTCACCGAGAAGGCCATCCTTGATGCTGTGAGGTTTAATAATTGCCAACGTGGTATTCTTGAACACGCATTCCTTTATAATGCTTTGACCCGGTTCAAAGAAAAATTTAAGGTCCTTGGCCACATCCTCTTCATTATCGGCGAAATAAAATCCGTTCCGAATCTCCTCGCATTCGCATAATTCCTCCAGGCTAGGAGAAAGCTTGATGTTGGATGCCTCGTGCTCAGGATTCTTGTAGGTGGCACAGGCTTTGATCGTCTCTGTTACGTTGTCTCCAATCAGCTCCAGGCTAATGGCAGGACCCGCCAGCAACTCATTCATAAGAACTCTGGAGTAGGGTTTGTAGTAATTGGACTGTTAAATTGTATGCTATCGACTTACGAAGATGAGGAAACATCCTTCCCAGACAGAAACTGGGTGACCATCTTCGGTGAGAACTGCACCATAAGGCCCTTATTTATGTTGATTTTGTTGTCTATCATAACCTTCAGAAAATGTCCCAGATGTTTGGCCCACATGTTATTTTTCAACAAAATGAAACCCCTGTAATGGAATGGTGAACTATTAATACCTGAAAGAAGGTGCCGAATGAAGATCCCGATTACTTTTTGCGATACTTTGCCAAGTTGGTGCGCGTTATTTCATCCGCATAATCTACGATATCAAACTGCCTGCCAAAAACATTTATCTTGGATCCCACGAAAAAATCGCGCTGGGTCAGCTCCGGTATCTTGGTTCTGCGCAAAAATGTGCGCTTGTTTCGCTGGTCAAACTAAAAAACATAAATAGGATTACTCTGGTATTAACTAATATAAGGAGCAGCATCAACTCACTACTTCCACCGCCTTGTCTGACACATAGTAGGTGATCAAAAATGGGCGAATGATGCCTGCCTCCGCGTGGTACCACTCGGCCGCAAAGGCAAGCCTTCTCTCGGTAACGGGAATCGAAGGTTTCATTTTCCAGGCTTGTGGCAATTATTTTTTATTGACTTTGGTGACAGTAAAGCCTTTTTTCGAATGAAAACTACTTGTTTACATCCCATTTTAAGTATGCTTCCTCTTCCCCGCGTTGCCACAGCAACAGTGCTGCCAAGCTAAAAAAGAGGTTCTAGATGAGGCGGGAAATTTAACTGTGAGCTGTTTTTTGGTTTTTATTGGAAGTTCGAAAAACAAAATTTAAGGACGCCCAATAAAGTTGTTAGATGATCCTCTAATTGCGGAAAAATTGTCTTTTTTAAGTAGGCCGTTTTTAAGTAAAATTATCGGCTTCTGTAGGTATTTTCCCAGTGACTAAAAAAAACATTATCCTTCTCTTTCTGTATTAAAAATACAATATTTAGTTTTCCATGTTTTATTGTAATTTCCTTTATTTACAGGAAACAAAAATAATAAATTGCAAACCACTTTGCAATAAATTGGTTGTAGCTTTTCCTCTGGTTAAATTCTAGCGTAAAACTTATGGGTTTCCCTTGTCGGCGCCAAATCTTCTTGTTCCTTATGTTGCTTCTTGTTAACATCGCTCCTCCGAATACGAATATTCAGCTAAAGTTAAATGTGTTTTGTTTGGAATTGTGGTATGTAGTAATGCACTCATGCGTATGTGGATGTTTTTTAATGTTTTACGAGTGTAAATGAGAGATTGTGGAGGAGTGGGCTTGTGTTCGTGTTGACTTAACGGTATAAGCGCCTCGGCTAACGCTACGACTACGCCAAAATGCTAGACACCATCAATACAACTGCCTAGGCAGCCGGCTTCTTCTCCTTATCGCCCTCGGCACCCTCCTCCTCATCCTCATCATTTTGCGACAGGCTTGGGATGTTGTCGTCGGAATCCTCCTCCTCGTCGTCGACGTTGAAGTCATCGAACTTATTGTTCCAGTCGCCTCCAGAGCTGCCCATGAAGTTGTTGAACATTCCGTTGTCTTTAGGATCTGTATATCAAACACACATAAAAGTTATAGGAAACTTCTAAATTAAAGAGATCATCCAAACTTACCCTCTTCGTCGTCGGACTCATCACGCCACTTTGCAAAGTTGGCTTTCAGGAAGTGCAACTTGGTCTTATCCGCGGTCAAAGAGGGCCAATAGGGTCCTGCCTCCTTCTTATATATTGTGAACTCTAAGCAGCGGCCAATGTTCTTGCTTGTAACCTTCTCGGGGTCCACCTCGTGGAGGAAGTTAAGTGTGACCTCGTACTTCTTTGACGCATCTAGCACGTTCACGCCCTTGAAGGTGAAGCTCTTTTCCGTCACTCTGTGGGGTAAGAATAGGATTAAAATCTGGCATCCAGTTCACCTTAACTAAAAAACATACTTGTGTTCAATGTCCTTGCACTCTACATCAATAATGACATAAATCAATTCATTGCGCTGGGCCCATGAAATGGGAGGCGGAATCAGACTGAAAAATAAGAAATATATGCAGTTTAATAAACAATCCATTTTAGCATTTGAGGGTATAGGGTATCAGGTGGGTTGGTGCTGGGTGTCATGGCAACGGCAGCTTCTGGAAGTTTCTGGAAGCCCCTCCATGTGAACAGCCTATGCAAATTGTTATCGAAAACATTAACATACTCCCGGCCGAAGGTCCATGCTGAAATTCCACTGTGCAAGCGCCGACCCAAACATAACCTCAAAAGACAGACGGCACAATTGGACCACTATTACACACGGCAATGCAGATGCGCACGGGACACGCCCACCCTAGGAAGATTCAAGAGTGCGGTTTTCCGAAACACATATCCGGCGAAGCATTTTGCCAGCGTCCTATCGGTGACCAAAAATGGACGCCGCTGTCGCCGCCGTTGCAAAGCACGCGACGCACAAAGAAGCCACAAAAGAAGTTCCCGAGGGGACTGGTTTTTTTAACCTTTGCGATATTTACTTACCCTGCTGACGACATTTTGTTGTTATAGAATCTGCGGATCGCTACTTTGATACTTTATTGCTAACAGAGCCGTACTTTTGTACGTTTTCGGTACAAAAAAGGCAATTTTCAGCTGACAAATGAGGGGTACAAAGTAAGATGACTAGGGGGCCCGTTGCCAGTGTTTCGTCGCCTTCTTAACTTGCTTTAGTGTTGCCATGTGTCATTGTTGTTGACAGTGTTGCTAGGCAATTAAAACCATTGCTTCCGAGAGATTTTTTTTAGAAACCTCTTAATTCGAGAGTTTTTTAATTTTTCTTTAAATATTTTATTTTTTTAAATTTACTTTTAGTTTTAAAATTTATTTTTTAATAAACCTATTTTTTTTAATATATTAAAATTTCTGGGCTTAAAAAGTATGTAAAGTGACATTGTTTCAAACAAATTTATTTTAAGGATAAGCGGCCAGTTACCAATTAGTTATGGTTAAATAAGGTTAAAACAAGGATATTTTTGAATAAAAATAATTAAATATTTAGCCCAACCGGTCACAGTGAAAAAAGTAGCAGTGAATAGACGCCTAGTGCTGGGTAATCACAAAAGTCACAGTGAAAAGTCTCAGTGCTCCTAAACGTAACTCAAATCTGTCATACTGTCATACCTGTGAAAAGTTGCAAGAACAAGACCTAAAAGTGAGTCGAGCTGTTACTTAACCAATTTTTGCAAATAAAAAGCATTTTCCTGCCTTCAAATAGCAATGTTGCGCATCACAGCCGGTAAACTTGCAGGTGCCATGCGAGGCGCTCTTGTGGGAAATTCCACCCGCGTGGCCGCCGTGCGCAGCTTGCACGGAACCGAGGAGTCGGCGGAGGAGTTCGATAAGCGCTACGAGAAGTACTTCAGCCGTGAGGGCATTGACGGATGGGAGATCCGCAAGGGCATGAACGACCTTCTGGGCATGGATCTGGTTCCCAGCCCCAAGATCGTCGAGGCTGGTCTGCGTGCTGCCCGTCGTGTCAACGATATCGCTTTAGCCATTAGGTGGCTCGAGGGATGCAAGTACAAGTGCGGCGACCAGATGGCCACTCTCTACCCGTACATTCTGGAGAAGGTCACTCCCACCCTCAAGGAACTCGGCGTGCCTACCCTCGAGGAGCTGGGCTACGACAAGCCCGAGCTGGCTTTGAAGTCTGTGTACGACCAATAGATTTCTTAACCCACACAAAACACAATACACACTGCTACACTGGCTACCCATTATATGTAGGGTGCGGATGAACATGTTGTTGGATTACTAATAAAAGGAGATCGGAGTAAGGCTACTACACAAGCTATGAGTTGTTTGCCTCTGGTTATGTAATTGCCATTAGTTAAATGACAATTCTCTTCATTCAGCAAAAACTATTTAGGTATTTGCAAAAAATCGTTTATTGTCTAGTGACTACTTCCACTGACTGAGCAGCTCGGCTGCTTTGTCCAGGTTCTCCTGTTTTTTGATAAAACAATAGCGTACAAAATCTTCGCCCAGGTGCTTGTTGGGCTCACTGTAGAAGGCGCTGGGCGGGATGCCCTGCAAACCCTTGTTCTTTGTCATCCACTTGGTAAATTTATAATCCCTGTATTTGTCTGGCTCGGAACTTAAATCCACCTTGTTCGCCACTGGCGACCAGTCAGCCAGCATGAAGTAGCCACCCTCAGGAATGGTGGGACGCATTCCAGCGTCCGACAGAAACTTGGCCATGTAGTCCCGCTTCTGTTTTAACTCCCGAGGAAGGCTTAAGAAGTAGCTCTCCGGTTGACCAAGGCGTTCCAGTTCTTTCTCAAAGCTTCGTGCCACTCCTTCCTGCAAAGGTGTAGGGCAGGTATACACAGAGTTTTGGTGCACCATCTGGAGGTTACGGATCAACTGGGCAGGACCATATGCCCATCCAATTTTCCACCCGGTAACGGAGAAGGTCTTTCCAGCCGATCCAAGGGTGATAGTGCGATCCCACATTCCTGGCAGCGTGCAGATTCGAATGTGCTCAGCCCCGTCAAATACAAGCCACTCATACACCTCATCCGAAACGCACAGCACATTCCACTTTCGGCAAAGCTCGGCAATCCTTTCCAGTTCCTGGCGATTAAAGACCTTTCCTATGGGATTATGTGGTGTGTTAAGAATGATCATCTTGGTTTTCGAATTGAATAGTCCCTCGAGCTCGGCGTCATCGAGAATCCAGTCAGCTGAACTAATAAGACCCTCCGTCTTTTTCTGCAACAAGGTGATATTGTATAGATAATTTAATAAGGTGCTTCAAAGTGCTATTTACCACTTTCAAAGGTATGAAACGGGGCACTCCTCCTGCCATTTTTACCATTGGTTCATAGCAGTCAAAGAAGGGTTCAATAATTATCACTTCGTCCCCCACGTCTACATGTCCCATGATGGTGGAGTAAAGCGCTTCATAGGCGCCCGAAGTGATCAATATGTCGCTGAGCGGATTGAGCTCTCGACCCACGAGTCCACTATATAGCTTTGACAGAGCCTGGACCAGCCGCACATGCCCATAACCACGTGTGTACTGGTGCAGAAGGGGATTTTCATCTTTGCCTATGTCCACCAACGACTGGGTGACGTACTCGGGAGCGGCGTCGTCAGGAAAACCTTGGCCAAGATTCAATGGCTTGTACTGCATAGCCAAAGCAATGTATTCGTTCCAAACACTGGGGGTGCTCCCCTGCAGGCGCTTCGGAAGATCAAACTTTTCCATGGCCACTGCAGCAGCTGAAGTTCGTTGGTACCGGTGCGAATGGCACTGAAGGTGTCGCTTGGCAGTGATTTTGAGTAAGCTTCTTGGAAGGGCCAGACAACAGCTTTTCAGCATCTGTAACAATGTGACTTTAGTTTTACTTTTACCAGATCGCTTATCACCGCGTGTTTGTTTATTGCTGGATGTGGCAGATAAGCACGCACTTTGCTAGTCTTTTTTGCCTGGGTGTGGGTAACTTAATTGTTGAGTAGTATAATATCACTTGTTAAATGCAATAGTTAAGGGAAAATGTAGAGCTATTTACTAAAACCGTGCAGTTCGCGGTGACGTTGCATAATTGACTGAATTTTGATTAGACCTGCGGTATGTCTATATGCGACGCGAACTTTTCAAGTTCTTACACACACAATAAAGAAAAATATCCAGAGTTTAATAAGGAAAATTTAGAAACTACAAAGTAAACAAAGAAGAAATAACTACTCAAATTCGCCGTATACGTAAACTATAAGAATGGGAGCTATCATTTGAAAGTTTTCTGCTTTAAATAACTAATAAATAAGAAACACGATCTTAAACAGGTGTCAGAGTTAAAACTACTAACAAATTATATATTAGCCATTGACATTTGTTTAAAAAATGGTAATTTCATAAAAGAGAGAGGTCCACAGTAATGAAAAAAACCTCTTACGGTTTACCCAAATATTTTGGGAGTCACAAAATAAACAGAATGTTTAATATTATTCTAGACGACGAATGAAGTAGTGTTAAAAACGTCAACATTTGAGACTTTTCCAATACTAACCCTACACCATATGTTTCATATCTAGCACGGTCCCATCTTTAAGAAAACCGCGCAAGTTCTAAATTTGAATCTGTGTTTGAATGAAAGTCTACATTTTTGTTAATTTTCGGCTGATTTACTATCCCAATTGGCTTTAATTATAGTAATAAAATAAATTCATTTTACAAAATATTCCAAGTATCCAAAAAAAAAATACTCCATCATCGTTTTTGAAAAGTTTATTTATAAAAAATGCTTGTTAATAGTAAATCAAGGGAGAAATCATCGTATAGCTAGTACAATTGACAAAATAATTGAATTATAACATATTAGGCATAGAAACATTTTACATTATGTGTAGAATTATTTGTTATGCTAAAAAGAGTTGACGTTTGTTGTTTTCCAATTTCGACCTCAAATTTCTGCAGAGTTTCAACAAAGTAAAGCTACTAAACTTAAATCACAGATAACACTAAAGTGTTTGTTACGATATATGCATTTATATATATGTGTCTGATTCTATATATATTTATATATATATATATGTATATATATATGTCACTATATATGTATGTGTATGGTCAAATCGGTTGTTACCGGCCCGTTGGCCTGCTCGTTTCTTAAGATTCCCTTGTGTAGAAATCATTAAACGCATAACTCGCTTAATGTTAGGTTAGAAAAACGCTAGAACTAACAAAATGTGGTTGTGTTAATTAATTTCGCTGGTCGCATATCATTCGCTGTTAAATGCAGCAGTTGGCTTAAGTACTACGATCCGAATCTGTGATCAAATTAACTCATGTTCTCCATCTTTACTTCTGGTGTCAATGGCACACGTATTGCGTAACGCGAATGGCAAAAATAAAAATGAGTTTAAGTACCGTTTTTTAATTCTAATCCGATTCAACTTTGCGGAATTTAATAAATTTACAGATTCTTCCTAAATTTTTTAATGGATAAACAAACTCCTATTTAATTTCACAAGTTTTCTTTTTCGATTATGAGACAAATTTTTGATAAGCTAAAAGTTATAATCGTCAACTAAGGGCAGCCAATAATTTGTATTATTATTTTGGAACATGTCTGCTGCTAGACGAAACCTTTATTTTAATAAAAAGAAACTAGTATCTGGGAACCGGAAAATGATTTGTATAAACTTTATTCCCATAATCGAATGGATTTTTTAACTAAATAACGGGATAAACTCTTCTTTCCCTCTTCCTTTTTTTTAATCTGTGAATGATTTTGTGTGGACGTGTGACTCCTAGACATGCACCTCCGGGCAGTCCTCGTCCTTGATCGACGTGTACTGCACCTTCTTGGCAACGTTGTCGAACACCGGAGTGATCATGTACTTCAATTTGTCTCGGCTAACGTACACAAGGGCCACTAGAAGCCCCAAAAGAATCATGCTAAGCACGATCAGCAGAAAGATAAGAGTGGCCGTATGACCGGTTATGTGGGGGTGCGCCTGCAGCGACGCCTCTGCCTCCGCTCCGTACCGCTGCTCCTCTTCGGCAGCATTCAGGATCGAGGCGGCCGCAGTAATGGCGTCCGCGCACTGGGACATGTCGAGCTGCAGGAGGTGGGCGGGTGCGGCGTCTACTCGTCCCTTCGAGTGGAAACACATGAGGCTGTCCTTGTTGCGTACAGTCACCCGGGTGGAGGGAATCCACGTACGGAACGGCGCTATGCTGCAATCGCAGACAAAGGGGTTGAGGTTAAAGTCTACGATCAGGTTGGCTGTGCGATTGGGGCGCTCTTCTAGTTCATTGAGGACTCGAAGGTCACTCGGCTTTACAAATTCGAACTTATTGCGCTCCAGGTCGAGGAAGCGCAGGTTGTTGAGACAGCGAACCTCGAAGTTGAGGTCACGCAGCTGGTTGTCGCCCAGGTGGAGATCCCGCAGCGAGGGAAGGTCACAGAAGACATTGCGATCCTTAAAGTGGGTGATCTCGTTCTGCTCGAGGTGCAGCTTCTGCAGTTTTAACAGCTGGCTGTTTACGAAGATGTCGTGCAGGTCTTCACTCAGCTGCGGCGAGCTGTTGTCCTCGAAGGCGTCTGTCAGATGGAGGCTCTGCAAGTTCACAAAGTTGGAGAAAACACGCGGGTGGTGGTGATTCACTTCGTCGTCGAACCGGGATATGCTCAGGTTGTTGTGGTTCAGGATAAGTCGCTCCACACGCGGCACATGGTGGTAGCTCTTGCCGCGAATCTCGCGGATGTGATTGCTGCTCATGTCGACAATGCGCAACTGCTTGTAATCGTTGATGCTCCCGAACACATTCCAGGGAAGTTCGGTTATTCGGTTGCCCGTGAAGATCAGCACCTCCACCTGCTCGGGCATGAACTCAAGGACACTGGTGTTGCGCAGTCCGGCATTCGTGCAGTTTACCACGTACTGCATTTCGCTCTCGTAGAGCTCCTCGCCACAGCTGCAGGCCCCCGGGAAATTGGGTCCGCAGCTGGACGAGGACGAGCTGTCGCCCATGACGAGGGCCAAGCTGACGGCCATGGCCACAGCAAGGGCAAGTTTTCTCAGTTCGGTGGGTCGCATCTCCGACTCTGGTGGTTGCTGCCTGCAATAAATATGAAGAAGCAAAATGTTTTATTAGTTGCGAATGCATTTTAAAGTGGCCACCAAGCCGCACTTGGCCCGCATGTGTGTTGTAGTTCCGGATCCCAAACTAACCGCAACCCCAATACCCCACCGCCTGGCACAAGCTTATTTATGCTCCACAAGTTGCAGATTTATGGGCTTATGAAAGCCGGAGCATCGCTTGGCGCTTGCTTCCCATCCGCCATCTCAATCAGCGGCCCACGCGGCGTATGGGTAATTTCTGTTTAGAGCCAAACTTTCTGGCGTCGAGACCACAACAAAAGCTTGAAGACCCTCCAGCGAACAGGAGCTGGGGCTGGAAGTCATCCGAGCAGATCTGCTCGGCAGAAAAAACGGTGGCAACCGTAGTAGTAGGAGCCAGTCAGGACGACAGGAAGCCTCTGGAAGCAACGCAAACCTGATTATTTTTCGGCTTTTATTGCTATTTGTTTAGTGCGCGAGTGTGTATGTTTACGAGTCAGTTTATGAGGCACTCCGGATGGCGGATAAAATCTTTAACCCTGGAGCAGCAAACAAAGTTTTAATTTGGCAATATGTTTTACTTTTATTAACCAACTGAAAAATACAGAGGCGAGTATAAAGTTGCAAAATTCTTTGAGAAAAATACACAAATATGCAGTGAATGGAAGGCTGTATTTTCTTTTTGCCAACCACTTATATGTTTTCAGCCAATTTCCTAAAAACACTCACAAATTTGCGATTTTGATAAATGATACCTAAAAGCTGATGGGTTTCAATGGAAAACCCCATTAGGCGCTAATAAATGAAGCTTAATTTTTGGGAAATTTGGAAAATTTCCTCCACAAATGGTGTGGGTACTGGGTTCGAAATTCGGCCTCCATATACTGCCGTGAAAGAGAGTCCAATGAATTCTCTCTCTTAGGAAGGCTGTTTACTGCATTTCCTGCACCATGTTGGGCGGGTCAATTAGTCCGGCAGAATTGCTTCAGCTCATGGAGCCAGCTGCCCAAGGGTCATTCGATGCTAATGGGCGCATCAAATTCCAGCCGGGAGAAAATTGAAAACTAACGGCTTTATAATGGGCCCTACAGGACGCCCTCGACGCACTCAACTCTTCGCCTCTGCCAGCCACTCAATTATCTCTGTTGGCCAGTTGGCCAAGTGCGCCAAGGAATATAGGTAAATTTTACAAAATTTGCAAATATTTATCCACCGCAATTTTGGAAATATTTACCAATTAGTGTGAAACGAGTTTAGACAGAATTTTCATTAGGCAAGGAATGTAAGGGATATTTCAGCCCCGCCACCCCGTTCCCCCGATTTCAGCCTTAGCGGCAAAATTTGGCAAAAGGTAGAGTTACAACAAAAAACGAGAGAAAATAAACAAAGCACAAAAGCTGCACTGCTCTTGAATCTGCCGTTAGGAGAAGGAAAATGCTGGCTTTATGTGCGAGTGTGTGTGTCACTTCCGGTTTACCGGGCTAACAAGCAGCCCTCCATGCTCCTCGCGCCCCTCTGCAGTTTTACTTTAATTTCAACTTTTATGTCTTTGTTGTTGTTTGCTTTGTGTGTTTACTGTTGCAATAACATATACCTCCCAGGCGCACCACCCCCTGGCCGTGGGCCCCTGCTCCTCTTGGCCATTCCGCTGCAATAATAAGGCAAACAAACAACATTCGTTCCTTCTTTACTGCACTCGGTTCGCTTCGCGCTGGAATTTATGCATGCGCGTAAAATAATAATAATACAGAAAAGAAACAGCAGCGGGGCAGCAACTAAAACAAAAGCAAAGAGCTACAATAGCAGCATTATAAACTGTACACGAGTACACCTGTATATGTGCAGCAAGCACAAGCAAAATAATAAAGGTGCCGATTTTTTGTGTGCATTTTTATACCCTTACGCCGGTGGTTCCAAGCTGATATTTATATGTTTTCAATACTGCTCATGTACCATATATATTTGTGATAGCATTCCCACAACACACCAAACAGAACCCGAAATAATATTATACAATATAATCTGCAATAGGACATGCCTCTCGCTTTACGTATTATTTAGTTAAGACTTTGTTATAAATCTTATTTTAAAGTTTAAATTTTTCATAATTTCATAAATTTTTCATTTTTCATAAAGTATAAGGCTTTATTTGCTTTTTTAAACTGAAAAATTATTTAAAAACTTACTTAAGTAAAAGTTTTTAAGTTTCCAATATTAACAAAATTATTTTTCTAATATTAATTGAAAACCTTTATCCTGGAAAGGTACTGCATGTTTCGGTTACCAAACCTGACATCGCTTTATTTTTTGGTATTATTTCAATTTTTTGTGTTTTGTTTTTTTGCATTCCCATGACTCCCGCTCTAATTCTCCTCAGTCCAACTCTCCCCTTAATTTGTTCGTGGCGAAGTGGCAGGCACTTGGCAGTTGCAATAGGAGCTGGAGGGAGGGACTAGGGGGCAGGAGGTGGGACTGGGCACGTTTAGAGAGCAGGTGCAAATGCAATGTGAATGTGGCAATGGTATTAAAGGTGGCCACTCAATTTGTAATGCACGATGAAAGCTTGCTTTGGGCTTGAGTGCGGGACTGACTGACTAAGTCTGTTTTGTGTGAGTAAGGTCTAATTAGAGCATAACTGCAGAGTGCCAGTGCGTAGTGACAAGGGCGGGGTACCATCCAAAGGGAGGTGACAAGTGGGTGTGGCAAAGCCCTCAAATAAGGCACGTTCGCGACTGCATCGTTGGGGGCAACCGCAAATGCTTGCTGTCAGCTAATGCTGACTAACGACAGCCAATTAGCTTCACTTTCGAACATTTTCCCCCAAACACCAAACCCGATTCGACATTCGATAAATACCAATTTGCTCTATGGATATTGTCAGTTTCCGCTTGCCAATCGCTTTGAATGTGAGTTCGGAGTGGCGTAAATGTACACTGATTGTTAAATCGGGTTTGAAGCCAAAATAGGTTTGCCTCGAATCGCCAATTGGGACTCATAACTGCAGGATTTCTCACCGACCACCCATATTCAATATGGTCCCAGGCATTACAATTAATAGTTGTTTAAAGGAAATTATTCATTTTACCTATTTTTCCCCCATAAACTCACATCTCACCCCTTTAATCATTTTCTAATGCTGCTCATTTCATAATCCTGCTTTGGGAGCTCATTTCCATTGCATATCCCTCGAAAACTGTCGAGCAGACATCCTCCATTAACGCAGCACGCCTCAATCGGATGCTGTGGCCAAAGCTCTTAGCATTTCTGGCGTTGAAAGACGACACCACGCCCCCCATTTTCGGGGGCTTTGGGAGGTTCGCCAGTCAAATTTCATTGTTGGCACAACTCGCTGCTGCATTCTTTCGGGCAACTTGCGAATGAAAGCACTCCAGAGTGATTTCACAGCAGCAACGTGCAACCATCTGGGTGGGATGGTGTGGGGTGCTGGGCGGTGAGGTGGCAAACTGCTTGCTGCGCCAACTGCATTACGGAAATCCTAATGCGGCCAACAAGCGTTTAATGTCCTGCCCGGCAGTCATTAGAAGGGAGTGAGAAATGTGGAAATGTTTAAAAGCTTTTCGGCAACTCCAGCACGAGTTGCAAGTGCCAGCAGCCAGCAGCCAAAAATGGCTAGCTAACTGTTCTTTGGCTGGCCGTAAATTTAGCGGGCTGCCTTGCGGGTTGCCTTGGATGATGGTGGGTGGCAGTTGGGAAGGTTGACAGAGGAGTGGGCGTACAGAGGAAAAGCAACCACTAACCATCAAGGATATTGAGTTGTAAACTCTTAAAATTAAACGAGACTATAAATCAAAATACTTGGGTCTAGTTGGGGGTTGGGTCTGAATGACATAATTTCCCAAAAATATGTTTAGCTTTATGAAACCCAAACTATGAAAAATATGTTTTTTTTTTACAAAAAGCGCAGTTTTTCTCTTCCTTGTCCAAATTTCTACACCTCCTTTTTTTTATGTGTAGGACATAACTGAGTTAAAGCAGAGTCCCTTTTTCCATTTACCGGATTTGTTGGGGCCTGTTTATGTCCTCATTGACTGCCTGCGGAGAGAGACACGAAAAAGTAGGCGACACTTGTCGCGGTGTCCTTGCCTCCCAGCCCCTAATCCTTGTAGTCCTCTCTCCACTTTATCCCACTTAGTCCTGTTCATTGTCAACCTGCTGGCAGTGCTCAGCTTCTGGCGCTGGCTTTTGAGGACAGCACGCTCCTTGCCAATGCAATTAAACGCAACTGCAGTCGCGGCATGGTTTACTATCCTGTCCCGTCCTGGTCGCATGAAACTCAATTAGGAAAGTTCAGGAAGGACGAGGAGAAGAGGCGCTGCGGACGAGGCGGAGTGCACGCCACAATATAAAATTGGTGCACGTTGGCTTCATAATTTCATTATGAGTGTGCCGTGCGAAGTGCAAAATATACGAGACTGTCAGAATACAGGAGCCGGTAGGCGGCAGGAGTCTAGAGGCGAGGCGTGTCTCGTCCTCACGTTTTCGCGTCTTGGTCAGAGCCTTGGACTACGTAATTAGTAGTCAGCTAATTGCGCTCCAATGGCCGAGTAAGTGGAGATATCCCTCTCAGGGTCGTTCTGGAAAGCTGGAAAGTCTGGCAAGTTTTTCACACGCCACAGGGAAAGTAATGTGGGCATGGGAATGGGGAAAGTTGGCCAAGAGTGTGAATTGTGGCTTTGCGGTCTTCTGAAGACACACTCGCCTTTTTGCCAGGCGAGACCGGATGGAATGGAGCGGCACGGTGCGAGTTCTGAGTCTGAGTTTATGATGTGGTTGCCCCATCTGCTGGGCGTGGTTAAAAGTGCGAAGGGTGAGAGCTGCAGAGGTCATTAGGTAAGGTGAGTGGGGTTTTTTTTCGGGGAGTGAAAAGTGAAAGGATAATAGAGACAGGAATGTGTTATGCCATTGTTTCAGGAGTGTTTCATTTTGCTCTTGACTTGTTCAACTCTGCAGTTGTTTAGAAAACAACAGTCTATTACG